CTGTCAAGCTACCAATTACCACGGGCCTAATACAAAAGATGGTTGAATTCCATGTCATGGACATAAAACCTACATTCAACCTTCTTCTTGGACGTCCTTAGATACATGAACTTGGAGCAATACCGTCTTCGCTCCATAAAATGATTAGGTTGAACTATCAAGGTCTTCCTATGACTATAGATACTTCTCCACTCAAAATCGCAATAAAGATCAATCTCTTTTAGTGATAAATCATGACAATGATGAAGAAAATATGTGGGGATTCTCCGTGGAGGCTATCTGCACACTAGAAATGGATGAAAATCTTGAAGTACCTTTCAAACTTGATCTATATTCCACCCCAATAGTAAACAACATCTTTTTCAAGAGTAGTTACTTTCCTGGGATGCCTTTAGGAATAGGAATGAAGAAATCTATCTTACTTATTATCCCAAATAAAAGCTTCTCCTTTGGATTAGGATATAAGCCAACCAAGGAAGAAATTAAATCTCACAATCAAAGCCTTAATGGACAATTTATTAGGGAGGGGGAGGATTACCCATGCTATGACTTTTCAAAACCACTAGTTCTTGAAGGTATTAAGAAGCCTAGATTCGAGATTTTTCACGATTGCTACTTCTTGAATGATGACTTAAGTGTTACTCAATCAAAACACCCAACTCCAGGGTGCTATGATAGGCAAGCCTTTAACTTACTATTTGGACTAGAGCAAAACCATGTTGCTATCATAACCAATCAAAATGCCATCCAAGATGAAGCTTTCGACCTTACTTCATTATTCATCCCTTTCAATAATACTTTCGAGCATAGATGGAGAAAGACCTTCAAGTGGACTAACCACAAGGGTGATAAGCTGGAATTCACCATAGGCGAAGGACAAATGTTTGAAGAATCCGACGACGAGTCTATTTTAGATTTTAAAGAACCTAAAAATTTAGGCCTTGTGGCCATTACTGAGTTGTTACTTTCTAGTTCTAAGGGCGAGGATCCCAAAGAGGATTCCTCTCTTGATGTACTTTCTTTTTATTTTAATAAGATGAGCTCTATTTCCGAGTATATGCCTTCTCTTGAATCTTTCGAATGCTATAATAATCAATCTAACAAAGATGATGACATTAATATATTGTTTCAATTAATGAATGAACGAGAACAAAAGAATCATGTGATCGAAGAAACTAAGACGATCAATATAAGAACAAACGAAAACAAGAAAAAAGTCAAAATTGGCTTAACCTTAAATCCGGAAGAACGATCAACTCTCATATCGACACTTAAAGAATTCGAAGACGTGTTTGCTTGTTCACACAAGGACATGCCAGGAATAGATAGGGAAATTGTAGGACTTACCATTCCCTTGAACCCTATGTCTAAACCCGTAAAACAAAAACTTCGACGAATGAAACCTAACGTTGCTTTAAAAATAAAAGAAGAAGTACAAAAACAATTGGACGTAGGTTTTATTCACGTATGTAATTACCCAGAATGGATAGAAAACATTGTCCCAGTCCCTAAAAGGATGGATGAGTTCGCATGTGTGTCGACTTTAGGGACCTCAACAAAGCTAGTCCCAAAGACGATTTCCCTCTACCCCATATTGATATATTGGTGGATAATACGGCTGAACACGCGATGTTATCCTTGATGGATGGATATGCAGGTTACAACCAAATTCTAATGGCAAAAGACGATGAAGAAAAGACATGCTTGATTACTCCTTGTGGTACTTATTGCTAGGGCTGGCAAACGGATCAGGTCGGGTCGGGTTCGTGTTCGGTTCAGCTGATTTCGGGTCAACTACTCCCCAACCCGAACCCGATCCATTTAAATTTTCGGGTTGAGAATCCCAACCTGAACCTGATATTTTCGGGTTTGGGTCAACCCGAAAGTAACCTGATTTGACCTGATTTTTTTGTTAGGGTTTAAATTAGGTTATTTTGACCCGAAAATGACCTTATATTAACCGGGTTTGGGTCAACCCGGATGTAACCTGATTTGACTTGATTTTTAATTTACATTATCTAGCAAATCTAATTAAAGAATACATGCCAAAATATAGTATACTAAATAAATTACAAATCGAAATTCAAAAGCTATCAATATTTTTAATTATTTATACAGACTTTATATAAAGTAGTTCTCAAACAATTTACAAAATTACAAATCCAAATTCAAAAAAAGTTGAAGAAGCAAGGGCAACGTATGTGGCGTGTAAGGATCCATATCTGCAAAAAAGAATGAAAGCAAACATCAATAAAAAAAGGACTCAATCCCTACAATACAAAAATATAACAAACAACAATTAAAGCAAAAAAATACAATACCGTTTAAATTATGATTCGAATAACAATTAAAACAACAAACAACATCAAAATTAGGCTTTGATTAGCATAGAAAACCTAAAAAGGAGTAAAAACAATATAAATCAAGTCAAAGAATGCTCAATCTAACAAAAAAATAAATGCTCACAAACTGAATAACAACATTCTCAAGGTCTAATTAAACGAGTATAAAAACATCTAACCCAACAACATAAATCCAAATTATATGAACAAGACAACAAGTCAACAACAACAATTGACATGCAAGACTGTATAAAAGAAATTAAATATAATATTATATGAACTTGACCATATAATTTTGGAAAAATTGCTTTAAATAATACGACCTTTAGCCCGTCCGCTAAAAACAAGTCCACCTTTTGATTATCCCAGAATAATACCACCTTTGGGGGATGTCCGCTTTAAACAGGTTGTAACCTGTTGGTAACCTGATTAATAGGTCATGTAGGACACGTGTCAATATTTTATTAGTTTGACAATTTTAATTTTTTTTTAAAAAAGATATTTAATAATATTAATCACTTTAGTATTATTTTTTAATTGGTTTTGTAAATTTAATTTGATTATTTAAGAATTATTTAATATTTTAATTTTTTAAATAATAATAATAATAATAATAATAATAATAATAATAATAATAATAATAATAATAATAAAATGAAAAAAGAAAGAAAAAAAAACCAAAAATCCTCACAGCACCACCCTTCCCCTTCTGCCACCGCGAAGTCCAGACCTAGCCTAGCCCCCAGCCCGCCGACCACCGTCTCCCCTAATCACAGAAAATGACCAGCGCCCAGACCCCCTTCCCGACCTTTCTTCCTCTCGCCTCCTCTGTCTCCCAAACACCCCCATTTGACGAATTGCCCAGCCACGTCAACCACCTTGCGCGTTTCAGCCACCTAGCTCATTCCCTCTTCCCGGATCTCCACCTGCTCCTTCCTTAAACTCCTATCGTTCTGAAACATCGACCGTTTGAGGCTCGTGGAGGGGAAGGGTGGAGGTTCTCGGCGATGGTAGGGCAAGGGCGAGGGTTTTTGGTGACAGTAGGGGTGTTGGTGTGGGGGGTTTTTGGCGATAGTGGAGGTATTCAGGGGTTTCGGCGACAGTGAGGGTGTTGGTTGGGGTTTTTGGCGACAGTGGGAGTTAGGGCGAGGGTTTCCAGCGACGGTATGGGTGTTTTATGGGGGTTTCGTCATTGGTGGGGGTGAGGGTAGGGGCCGCTCCGGTTGTGGTGGTGGTTGTTGACGGGTGGGGGGCTGTTGGGGTTTTTTTTTTTGTTTATAAATTAAAATCAATATGATTAATTAGAAAATTGTTAAAAAAATTATTTTAATTACATTAATTGTTAACCATAATTAAAGTTCTAATTAAGAGTTAATTAAAGTGTTAAAGAAAGTTATTACAAAAAAAATCAAAAGGTTAACCAGTTGTTAAATTTGCAAGTAAAAAATATTGTTTAAAGCGGACACCCCCCAAAGGTGGTATTATTCTGGGATAATCTAAAGGTGGACTTGTTTTTAGCGGACAGGCTAAAGGTCGTATTATTTAAATCAATTTTTCCTATAATTTATATAAACAAAACAAAAAATCAACTACATCAAACAAAACGAAAAAAATAACGAAAAAAGAAGAAAAATAAAGGAAAATAAATTAAGAAGCAAAATACCTAGATTGATGAAGGAGAGGATTAGAGGAATGCATCTCATGGAGGAGAGGAGTGAAGGAAAGTTGAGAAACGGTTGAGGAATGAGGAGATTATGAGAAAGAAAAACCTGAGAAAGTGAGAAACGGCTCTTCAAATTTGAGAAAGAGGATGTGATTATGTGAGGTTTTAGGGTTTTTCTTTTTGTATGGTAGCTTAGCTTCTTTGGGCTTGGGCTCCGTTTTTTTAAGGTTTGTTTAATTTTTTTTATTTTTTTTGTTTTTATAATATAAGTATATTACGTTCGGGTTAACCCAACCTGATTTGACCCGAAAAATATTTTCAGGTTTGATGGGTCATTTTCGGGTTGAAAATTTCAACCTTAACCTAACCCATTTAATTTTCGGGTCGGGTTCGTGTCAACCCATTTAAGTTTTTGGGTCAAAAATCTCAACCCTAACCTGCTATTTTCAGGTCGGGTTCGTGTCGGGTTATCGGGTCGGGTCAGCTTTTGCCACCCCTACTTATTGCTACACAATTGTGCCATTTTGTCTTAAAAATTCAGGAGATATGTACCAGAGAACGGCTACAACTCTCTTGCATGATATGATGCACAAAGAAATAGAGGTATATGTGGATGATATGATTGTAAAATCCAAAGATAGAATGGGTCATGCAAAAGCTTTACACAAATTATTCACTCGAATAAAAGAGTACAAGATGAGATTGAACCCCACAAAAATGCGCTTTCAGAGTAACTTCCGGCAAGTTACTTGGATACGTAGTAAGCACACGTGACATTGAGATTGATCCCTCGAAACTAAAGGCAATTATTGATATGCCTCCCCCACAAATAGAAAAAAAAATTAGGGGTTTTCTTGGCAAATTACAGTACATTAGTCGATTCATTTTTTTTTTTTTTTTTGGTAAGTAAGAATTATATTAATACCAAAGAGAAGAGGGCAAGCCCTCAAAATACAAGAGAGTAAACCCTCACCACCTAACTACAACAACCCCAATCAAAGAATACAACCTTTAAGGCTATATAACCATTTACATTGTTTTCTAGTCCAACTCCCTGTAATGAGTTGCCTACTCCTATCCACTGTTTCTATACAGATTCCTCTACATAAGATCCTAGGATGAATTACAGCTTTGAACCAATAAGCATGATTTCTAGCAAACCACAAATGGTAAATAACAGAAGCCAAGCCTGCTGTTCCCACTTTTCTACAGATGGGGTCTTTAAATTGCTTTCTCCAATGCAACCAGGCCACGTCTATATTATAACAGCTATTCTTGATTCCCAGCCAAACTGCAATCATATCAATGCTTCTTCTACTGTAAGGACACTCAAAGAAGAGATGACTTCTGGTTTCAGTAGCATTTCCACACAGTAAACAGTTGCTGTCTTCACAAAAATCAAATCTCTCAAGCCTATCTCTGGTTTTAAGCCTATTATGCATTGCAAGCCAGGAAATGAAGGCATGCTTGGGGGAATTAAAATTATTCCAGATCCAAGTATGCCAAACAACTCTCAGATTATTTCCTTGCAACCAATCATAGACTTCAGAAATCTTGTATTTATGCTGAGCCCAAGCTTTCTCCAAGAATCCCGAATGAAGATCATCTTTAACTTTGCAAAGTTTCTTCCATTCCCAACCAGCACTACTCTTTGGTTTATAATCCCACCATTCTTGATCTTTTAAGTAAATTGAATGCACCCATCTGACCCACAAAGAGTCTTCTTTGTTAACAATTTTCCAAACATATTTCCCCAGAGCAGCTTTGTTCCACAACTTACAGTTTCTGATCCCCAATCCACCAGTTGCTTTGGGTTTGCACACCCAATCCCAGGATATGGGAGGACTTCTAGACAAATTAGCACTTCCATCCCATAGAAAAGCTCTACAAATCTGAGTTATTCTATCCAAAACAGAAGCTGGCAGAAGGAGACACTGAGCCCAGTATACGTGCAAGCTCATTAGCACAGACTTAATCAAGACAACTCTAGCAGCATAAGACAAATTTCTGCTTGCCCAACATGTAATTCTGGAAAGCATTTTATCGACCAAACCATCATAATCAGCAAATCTCAAGTATTTGGCATTTAAGGGAATACCTAAATACCTGAAAGGGAAAGAACCCTCACTGAAACCAGTGTGCCTTAAGGTTTGCTCTCTAAAACTTATAGAAGTATTGCCAAAGTAGATTGCAGTTTTTGCCTTGTTAGCTTGCAACCCTGAACAATTACCAAAGGTTTTTAAAGCCCTATGAATCAAAGAAATGGACTGTGAGTCACCATAACAAAATAACATCAAGTCATCAGCAAATATCAGATGATTTTGACCAATCCTCTTGCATCTTGAATGAACTCTAAACTGCCTAAGCTTACCCACTTTCCTCAATAACCTGGACAAATATTCCATTGCCAGGACAAACAGAAGAGGAGACATGGGATCCCCCTATCTTAAACCCCTAGCACCCTTGAAAAAACCACACATCCCCCCATTGATCATCAGAGAGTAAGAAGGTGAACTAACACAGGTCATAATCCAATTACAGAATTGCACAAGAAACCCCAAAGCATGCAACATGTCCCTGATGAAATCCCAACTGACAGAATCATAAGCTTTTTGAATATCAACCTTCACAGTACATCTAGGAGGCTTGATTTTGTTATTGTAATACTTGAGTATATCTTGACATAACAGAATATTGTCCAAAATTGAACGTCCAGCTATAAAAGCACCTTGCACCTCAGAAATGACATCAGGAAGCACTTCTTTCATTCTACTGCAAATCATCTTAGAGATGACTTTATATATGACATTGCAGCAAGAAATTGGCCTGAATTGCCCAACCTTAGTAGCATGCTCAACTTTAGGCACTAAAGTAATCACAGTGGAATTAATCTGTTTTAAGAGCTTGCCATTCCGGAAGAAATCCAGGACAGCCTCACACACATTCTCTTTTACAATATCCTAGGCACATTTGAAAAAATGGCTAGAGTAGCCATCAGGACCAGGGGCTTTATTATCATCAATATCCCATAAAGCCTTCTTTACATCAGCCTCACCAAAGGGTCTACACAGCTCTCTACTTTTCTCCTCACCAATCACTGGTCCTTCATCAATGACAGATTGATGAATATAATGCTGACTAGGGGTAGCAGTACCAAGCATCCCTTTGTAAAAGTCCAAGAAAGCTCCAGCAATTTCTTCATGTCTATGCATTTCCACCCCATCCTCCTTCTGAATGCTGCAAATTCTGTTTTGCAATCTTCGCTTCCTAATGCTGGCATGGAAATGAGCAGAATTAATATCACCATGCTTAAGCCAATGCAGCTTTGCCTTCTGTTTAAGGAAACTCAATTTCCTCTTATGAGCTTCAATATATTGTTGCCTAACCAGAAGTTCACTAGCCATCAAACTGAGGTTACTAGGATCACAGTTAAGTTGCTCCTGTTTCTTCTTAAGTTCAGCACCCAGCTTTTCATCAGTAGCCAAAACGTCAGAATTATACCCATTGTTGAGCTTCTTCAAAGCCACTTTGCAAGCTTTAAGCTTCTGAACTAAAATGTACATAGGAGTGCCGGAAATCTGACAGTTCCAAGCCTCAGCTACCACCTCCTGAAAACAAGGCAAAGTAGACCAATAGTTAAAAAACTTAAAAGGCTTCTTAAAACCACCATCAGCATCGCCCATATTCATCACACAAGGACAATGGTCCATAAGACCTTCTGGCAAGAAAACAGCATTAATTGGTTTAACCTTCTCCAACCACCAATCATTAACCAGAATTTTGTCAATCTTGGAAAAAACCCTACTATCACCCTCCTGTTTGTTATTCCAAGTATAGAAGCAGCCACTAGATTTAAAATCAGTCACACCACACTTCCTCAAACACTGTCTAAAATCATCAACCTCAGCAAGGGTCACAGGTGAACCAACTCTATCTCCAACATTCAGAACATTGTTAAAATCCCCACACACCATCCAAGGATCTATAACATCTCTGCTTATTTCTTCCAAATGATTCCATAGATCCTCCCTTCTACTGGGTTCATTAAACCCATAAACAACAGTCCAATAGAAACTCAAGCCAGAAGCTCTATGTATCACATGTACATGTATACACTAATTTTCAATTCTAATGATATTGAGTTGAAAGACACTAGGTTTCCATATCACCCATATCCTGCCATTAATACATTTAGAGTAATTAGCACACACTGACCAATCACCATCAAAATTAGTGAAGACCTTAGCAAAATTCTTGGCCTTCACCTTTGTTTCTAGAAGCCCAAATAACCCAATATCCTGTTGTCTTATAAAGTTTAAGACATCACATTATCTGTCTGAGTTATTAAGGCCTCTAGTATTCCAGAAGCCCCATCTATCCATGAGGAGGTGATGGGTATATAACCCCCTCCTCACTGCCATACACCACTCTCTTCACAGGTGCTAGGTAATTCTTCCCTAGAGCATTGTTCTGCTTTAGAATTTCAATCTCAGTCTCATCAACCATCAAGCCAGCAAACCTTCCTCCTACGATGCTTTGGGTAGGCTCCTGTACTGGCTTCTGAACTTTCCACACTGGTTTCTGAATTGGGTTTTGATCAGGTCTGGTAGGTGGATTCTGCACAGGCTTCATAGCTGGCTGCTGAACAGGTTTCCACACTTTCTGATCTTGTCTCTTACCATTCTGTCTTGGTCCCTTCCTGTTCTGAGTATACCCATTCTCCTTCCCTCTAGCAGTACACAACGAGCTATCATGTCCCATTCCCTTACACTTCATGCAGAGAATTGGCTTCCATTCAAAAACCACCTCCTGGGTCACAATTTGCCCTAATTCATCCACAAATTCTATTTTATCAATCAACTCATTGATCTTCACTTCTATCAACAATCTTGCAAAAGCTAACATATCCTTGTTTGCTGTTGCGCTATCCATTTTTACGGGCTTACCAATTAAACCCCCAATTTTACCAATTAAACCCCCAATTTTCATCAATGTTTGTTGTCCCCAAAACTTCAAATCAAGTCCATGGAGGCGAACCCAAACAGGAATATAATCCACATTAGTCGATTCATTAGTAAGTTGACAATGACTTGTGATCCAATATTCAAAAAATTAAAAAAAAAAAGTAGAAAAACATGAATGGGACAACCAATGCCAAGAGGCCTTTGAGAAAGTAAAAAGCTATCTCAAAAGTCCTCCAGTTTTAGCACCACCAGTACCCAAACTACCTCTTAGACTTTATATCACTTTCACGGACACGGCCATAAAACGTGCAATATACTACATAAGTAAAAAGTTTATTCAATATGAAACAAGATATAGCACTTTAGAAAAAAACGTGTTTAGAATTAGTGTGGGCAACTAAAAAACTACAACATTATATGCATCCCCACACCACTCATGTGATTTCTCAACACAATCCAATAAAGTATTTGTTTGAACAACCACCCATACAAGGAAGAATATCCAAGTGGTTGGTGATGTTGGCCGAATTTGACCTCAAATATATTCCTGAAAAATCAATAAAAGGAAAAGTAATGTCCGATTTTATAGGCCCAACATCCCATTCAAACAAGTCGTGAAGAAACCACTCATCTTCCGGATGAAGAAATTCTCATGACACAAGATGACAAATGGGTAATGTACTTCGATGGCGCATCCAACCAAAAAGGGTGTGGTGTAGGAGTGTTACTCATAAGTCCAGAGGGAGCACATACTCCAATCTCTGCCAAACTAGACTTTGAGGCTACTAATAATGCCACAGAATGTGAAGCGTGCATCGTTGGATTGAAGCAGCAGCTAGCATAGGTGTGCAAAAATTAGAGGTATATGGAGATTCCAGTTTAATAATAAATCATATACTAAAAAAAATAGAAAATAAAAAACCCCAAAATGATATTATACCAAGCACACCTAGAACATCTCATCAAGCAATTTGATTATATTGATTTTAATATCTCCCAAGGGACGAAAATCAATTTGCCAATGTGCTAGGAAAATCAGCCTCAATGATCAACATTCCTGATCAATTAAATATGATGCCATTATGCGTTGAAAGAAGAGATGAACCAACTTATTGCAACTCAATAGAGGAATTAAATAACATCGAAGGGGAAAGCGCCTAGTATGATCATATCCTCCATTATATTACTCATTGCACATATCCTGCAAAAACTTCATCTAAAGATCAGCGCGCCTTGAGAACGCTCGTAGCCCATTATGGGATAGTTAATGGTCGATTTTGTGAAAAAGGCCCAAATGGTCAAAGATTGTTATGAATAGACCAGCCCGAGACCACACGCCTTATGGAAAAATGCTCGCTAAAATAATCTCACGTTTAGGGTACTTTTGGTCCACGATGGAACATGATTGCATCCAATATGTCAAGAGATGTCAAGAGTGCCAAATGTTTGCTAACTTACAACACCCTCCACCATCCGAACTATATAATATCACTTCCCCTTTGCCATTCTCAACTTGGGGAATCGACATTATTGGTAAAATTTCTCCAACAAAAACGGGAGGACACGAGTACGTATTAGTAACCATCGACTAATTCACAAAGTGGATCGAGGCCGCCTCTTACGTTAATATCACATCTAAACATGTCGCAAAATTTCTCGAGCGAAACATATTTTATAGATATGGAGTTCCACACGAACTAATTAGTAACCAGGGATCTCAATTCAAAGCAGAAGTTGAATCCCTTTTGGCTCGTTACAAAGTAAAACATCACTATTCTTCCCCATATCGACCTCAAATGAATGGAGCAGTAGAATCGACGAATAAAAACATAACAATCATAATTAAAAACATGGCAGAACATTATAAAGATTGGCCAAATAAACTACACTTTGCTCTTTAGGGTTATAGAACGTTGATACGAACTTCAATAGGAGTAACTCCATACTCCTTAGTTTTTGGCATGGACGCACTTCAACTAATTGAACCGGAAATACCATACCTACGCATCATTCTTGAAAGTAAGCTACCGGAAGCTGAATGGGTTTGAGCTAGGTATGAAGAGCTTTTATTCCCCGACGAACGACGAGTTAAATCTTTGCATCATGTACAAGTCTACCATCAACGCATTGCGTGACATTTTAACAAATGGGTACGACCTCGTAATATTAAAGAATGTGACTTTGTACTTAAAGAGGTTAGAGGTCCTCCAACTGATCCACGAGAGAAATTCAAACCCAATTGGATTGAACCATACCGTGTAATTGAAATTCTATCAGGAGGGGCAGTTAGATTAATGGACATTGGTGGCGATGAAATCCGTCAACTAATAAACATAGATCGCCTTAAAAATACTACATATGAATTCCGGATAAACTCATTCATTCAAATAGTCTAATATAAATCAATTTCATAGCATTCAAACAAAAGATTCTAAGTGCTATAAATTTTACTGAAATCCACGGTAAAA